AGCAGTTAGGAGCCAGTGGTCCCAGATTGGAAAGGGTGCAGGACAGGCTAAGGGGCCCACTCCCCCATGCACAAATTTCATGCACCAGGCCTCTAGTATAAAATAATCATTGTTGTGAAATAGAAATTCATGAAAATTCAGAGAGGTAGATGTTAAGGACTGACAAAAGCAGAAGTTTGTATAGAATGGCACATGTTATAGGATAAGCTTTTGGTACAGGCTTCAGCTTTAGCTCTCTTTGAAAATTCACTGATTCAAGGAAAGTGGTTTAGCCCTAACCGGCTTGGCTCAGTGGATGGAGCGTCTGCTTGTGGACCGAAGGGTCCCGGGTTTGATTCCAGTCAAGGGCACATGCCGGTTGTGTGCTCGATCCCCAGTAGGGGATGTGCAGGAGGCAGCCAATCCATGATTCTCTCTCATCATAGATGTTCCTAGCTCTCTCTCCCTCTCCCTTCCTGTCTGAAATCAATAAACATATATTATAAAAAATAATAAAGAAAGAAAGAAAGAAAAGAAAAGAAACGTGGTTGAGACACCTTCACAGTTCATTTCACTACAGAAAGGAACAAGCTTTCTGGGTCTGAAGGGATTGGTACTCGAAGATACCCCCATCAGCAGGGGGTCACGTTGAGCATTCTGCAGACAGAATTGTTTCAGATTGTCAGCTGCCTGGGAAACCTCCCGGGTGATCCCGGCCTCCAGCCGGGGCTGTTGAACCACTTTCTTCATAGCGGTGACGCTGGAGGAACCCGACACGGTGCACACGAGTCCCGGGCAGATTGGTCAGTAGCGGGTCGCCAGTCGTGAGTCCACGGGGCCAGACAGCGGGGCAGCGATGTGAGGCCGAAAGCCCCTTTCTAGGCATTCTCCCTCCCCCCTGGTGCAGTGTTAAGAGCCTCTTTTGGGGGGAACACTTGGCAGCTCTCTCCCATCTTGTATTGAGCCAACCTAAGGGCTTCCCGAGACCCACATCTCCACATTCACTGGGAGGGTGGATGTGAAGGTGTACACACGGCAAAGAGGAGCTCGGGCTTCCCATCCAGCAGGAGGCAAGCATTTGGACTGGTCCTGCAACCCTTCCCCCGAGGCAGCCTGGTGGGCGGGCCACCACTTGCTAGCTGTGTGGGCGCGGGAAGTCGCTGACCGTATCTGTGCAGCGGGGTCAGTGACTCCTGCCTTGCAATCTGATTGCGAAGATTCATTTAGGAAACCTGACGCCTGCAGCACAGGCCCTGCACCCAGGAGACAGGTGTCTGCTAATGAGAGCCCCACCGACACCTGCGTGACTCCAGGGCCGCTGAGAGCCTTCTGCCCACCCGTCTGCTGACCAAACCCCTCCTCACAGGCTGGCCCTGATGTGCCTTATTGTGAACACAGCCAACCCTTAGGTCAGGAGGCTATGCAAAGGTTAGACTTGAAGTCACACAAATCTTGGCTTTTAAATCCCAGTGCTGGTACCTGTACTCACTCACAGACCTGGGCCCTGTGTTTGCGTGTTTTGTTTTGTTTTTACAAATATGTTTTTATTGATTTCAGAGAGGGAGCGGGAGAGAGATAGAAACATCAATGATGAGAGAGAATCATTGATCGGCTGCCTCCTGCACACCCCCTACTGGGGATCAAGCCGTGAACACGGGCATGTGCCCTGAGCGGGAATCGAACTGTGACCTCCCGGTTCATAGGTAGACACTCAACCACAAGCCACACTGGCCGGGCAAGGGCTTTGTTTTTTTAATGGGTAAATTGGAGATGAGATCTAAGACAACAGGGAACTTGCCTGCCTGTCTTATTCGCTATATCCTTAACCCCAAGAACAGTGGCTGGCATACCGCTGGGCCCTCGGTGTCTGCTTGTTTAACAATGAGTGGATGAATGAATGAACAAACACTTATCCGCAGAATGAGTATGAGGTTATAATGTGTAAAATGTCTGCTATAGTACGTGACTCAAGGCTAATACTCTTCAAAGTATTTCCTTCTTTCTCCCCCTTCCTTTTCTTCTTTTCCCTTCTATTGCCTTCCCTGGGCCTATGGACATGTAGGACAGTCCTTTGACCCCCACTTCACCTACCAACCACCCTGAACCTCCTCACCATTTTCCCAGACAGCTGATGGCTCTCCTGTGGCCACGTGGAGAGCTGTCCAGCCCAGTACTTCTCCCCCCGACCTCCCTTATCACGCACTCCCTCTATCATTCCTGCACTTCAGCTTATTCCCGGTCACTGTTCTCCTCCCACAGGACAAAATGGATCTTCCTCATGCCCCTCCATCTGCAGAGTGGGAAGGGAACATGGGAGCTGAGCAGGGGGCTGGGCCTCAGAGCTGTGTGTCCTGCCAGATCGGCGCCAGCAGGCGAGGCCGGGTTGTCTGTATCTGTCCGTCCGTTCCTGCCTCAGCTTGTTTTTGTCTATCCCACTTTCTGGAAGGCAGGGCAGGGACAGCAACAGGGACAAGCCTTGGTGTTGACATCTGGCCACAGCTTCCTGGTCCAGGCTGACACTCAGACTGGGAGGGGCCAGAGGGACCTGGTCTCCCGGGGACCTGGGAGGAGCTCCAGTCCATCAGCCCCTCTTCTGTGGCTGAACACTCAGGCAGGCAACCCCTCTGTGTTCCTGGGGTCCAGGGCTTGGGAGGCGGCGGGTCTGCAGGCAGCACAGACTGAAATACCACCCAAGTAGCCCTACCCACATCCAGGGGGTATATTGGGGGTGACTCTAGGGAGGTGATTTGAGGCCATGGACAGGGAGACTGTTGGTATAAGGGCACTATTCCCTCAACATGTCTGAGGTGAATCGCTAAAAATGCTTGTTAAAAACCCGGATTCCCCAGGAGCCATGGATTT